TGAAATAAAGAATCATTGGTCTATAAAGAGAGAGAGAAGGAAGAAACAAATTAACTATGAAATCAATTATCGAAGCTCAAAAAATTATTTTCAAAAATAATTCAAAGATCTTTCTAATTCTGTACCATTATATTCCTATAAATTTATATATTACTGAATGCAATTGATTATATTTTATCTAATGTTTACTCTTACCTCATTCGACCTTTTAATTCTAATAAGAAATGAATTAAGTATTTTATACTTTTCTGACATTTTCTTTACCTTATCTGTTAACATAATATATTAATTATAAAAAATAAAATACTTGTTTTCCAATATTTTTGTTCATGATAGGAGCATTTTCCATGACATATGACTCTCGGAAATTTATAATCCTTCTAGCTCTCGAATTTTTATGAACATTTGATTCCGAGAATTCTCGAACATTCTAAAGCTTTACTTTCGAACGTCCTATAATGTTTATCTGGTCTCCGCATAGGAACGTTGATTGGAATTCTGCAACCTTCTAAAGCTTTGCTTCCCGAAGTTCTCGAAACTTCTAAAGCTTTAAGCTCATACATCCTGCAATGTTTTCTGCATAGCAACACCTGCCCATTTTTGACAGCTAACTAAACTGTTGCGTGGATATATAAAGCAAGCACGCGACAGGCTGGTAGTTATTCAGCCAGCTTCCACAGCCATAAGCAACTCACTCAGTGACAATCTCTCATCAGAGCCGCTGCTTAAGGTACGCCTAATAGTTCTATACAAATATCAATCTCAACTTCATACAGTATCCACGAGCACGCAGCTGTTGCAGGTACTTTCTCAAGGATCCAGTGCCACCGTGCAGTTTCTCAAAGAAAAGACAACAATTAGGTAACCACCACGTGGCACTACACGAAGATGCGTCCAGAGATTTACGACCTCACACTTCTCTGTGTAAACATCCACCACCAAGCGTACCATGTCAACAGGATCCGGAGATTTACGACCTCCTACCTCGGCACGTAGTGCATGGTAACATCACGTGGCAACCATCACGCAACTGCAAGATCTCAACGATTCTTATCATCAACAAAGAATTATTTCTGTAGTAAGAATTATTCTGATGTGTTGCGGAGACAACTGTACAATAATCTATGCAGCTTGATTATTAAATACGAATGGCGAATGGCGCGAAGTTTCGTTCGTCGACACTAGCGCCTTTTGAACGAGCACGTGTGTGGTTGAGGTTATGAATGCAGCTTTATGATTAAAAGATATCGCAAGTGGCGCGAAACTGGATTGCCTACACTTGCGTTGTGTTTTGCATACTTTCGTAAGCTTCCGGTTGAACTAAGGTGAGGGTTACTAAATGAGACGCCCCTGGAGGGCGCGAAACTTGATGACGCGTACTAGAATTTATTCCGCACTGTCGTATTAAGAGTAGCTTCCTCGTTCTTAGTGCTTGTTAATGTAATACTCTGAATCTCAATATATATATATTTACTCTAGTAGATACTACTTACAAAGACTAATCATTGACTCGTCTTCGGACTCTGATAGGCGGATTGTCGTAGCTCCCTTGGGACAAGTAACTACGGTTTCTTGAACTGCGTTAGTGGACATA